CAGTTTAAAGCCGACCCGGGAAGCCAAGCTCCACGGGCTCCCGCAGGTCATCAGCGCAGCCGAGATGTACGACCAGGCGAGGACCTCCATTCCCTACCCGGAAAGGCAGAAGAGGGCTCGCTCCATGATAATCCTCCAGGATTCCTCGCATCTTCCTGTGGAGCCCACCGAGATCCCCCGGCCCGGTCCGTCCGCCACGCCCCCAGAGAAGCTGAAGAGGAAGGGGCGGGTGATCGACAACCCCTACGCCAACATGGGTCAGAGATGTACGACCAGGCGAGGACCTCCATTCCCTACCCGGAAAGGCAGAAGAGGGCTCGCTCCATGATAATCCTCCAGGATTCCTCGCATCTTCCTGTGGAGCCCACCGAGATCCCCCGGCCCGGTCCGTCCGCCACGCCCCCAGAGAAGCTGAAGAGGAAGGGGCGGGTGATCGACAACCCCTACGCCAACATGGGTCAGTTCAACGTCAGCCTCTTCGCTCCCACCAAGCCGCAGAGGAAGAAGAGCCCCCTGGTGAAGCAGCTGCAGGTGGAGGACGCCCAGGAGAGGGCGGCGCTGTCCATCACGGGGGGCTTCACCAGGGAGCCCTCGCCCACCCGCAGGAGCCACCGCCTGAGCGGGGTGGAGTACCAGCACCACGCCGGCATCGCCCAGGTCGAAGCCACGAGCATCCCCTTCGCCACTGCCATCGCCGGGGTGATGAAGGACAGAGACCGCCGTCTGGACGAGAGGCGGAAATCCACCGTCTTCCTCTCGGTCGGGGCCATCGAAGGGAGCCCCCCCAGCAGCGACATGCCGTCCTTGCAGCAGTCCAGGTCCATCGATGAGCGGTTGTTAGGAAGCCGAGATGTTCTACTGCCTTCCCCTGTCTCAGCTTTAAAGCCATTAATTAGCAGCTCATCCTCAACCTTCATCCACCCCCTGACGGGAAAGCCCCTGGACCCCAACTCGCCACTGGCGCTTGCGCTGGCCGCAAGGGAACGGGCCCAAGCCCCACCCCGGCCGCCCCCCCCGATCCACAGCCCCGACTCCGACAGAGCGGCGCCCCTGTTTGTGGACATCCAAACCAAAGAACGGGAGAGGGGGGACTTGGAGAGCTTGGTGTCCCCCGCGTACTCACCCGCAGGCAAAGCCGCGATGGGGGCGGACGCCGGGACGTTGGCCCCCGTGAAGAGCCCCTGGGGGACTCCGTCCACGCTGAGGAAGGAGACCGAGGTGCGAGCGGAGACGCCCAGCAAGGAGGAGAAGAAGCAAGAAGACAAGAAGTCCATGATCATCAGCATCGTGGACACGTCGCAGCAGAAGACCGCCGGCCTCATCATGGTTCACGCCACAAGCAACGGCCAAGACGAGATCGGGCTCGAGATCAAGGAGGAGAAGCCGCCCGTCCCCGAGGTCTGCACCGAGTCAGTGGAGTCCCCCAAAGCAGAGCCCCAGCCCAGCCCCGCGGGGCAGCCCCCGGTCAGCCCGGTCTCCGACAAGACGCTGGGCCAGGGGAGCTCGGAGGAAGAAGTGGAGCCCTACACCGTCACCCTGCCCCCGGCTCAGCTCTCCTCCAGCGACGAGGAGACCAGGGAGGAGCTGGCCAAGATCGGGCTGGTGCCTCCGCCGGACGAGTTCGCCAACGGGGTCCTGGTCACCACCCCCGGCACCCCGGTCAGCCACCTGGCCGCGCCCGGCGCGCCATCCGTACCAGCGGCAGCACGAGC